CAACGGTCTGAAAAATACCTCAACTTTGGTCGGATTTGCTGTTGCGATACTAAACTTTCATAAGGACCTATTACCTCCTTAGTCTATTTAATATCGTATTTTTTACCCCCTGAACTATTTAATAGTGTATTTTAAAGTTATATATGTGCCTACGTGGACACAATACTATTTATAATTTTGCATTATTTTTTATGTCCACGTGGGCAAATATATATGTTTAAAATACGGTATTAAATAGTCTAGGGAGGTAATAGGTCCTCATGAAAGTTTAGTATCGCAACAGCAAATCCGACCAAAGTTGGGATATTTTTCAGACCCTTATCCCTAAAAATTACTATACTCTAGCATTAAATTTTAATGTGAAATGATAAAAACATTTATTTGAATTACATGTATCCCTATCTTAAGTTGGTCAAATTTGGGCTATATTGTTCATAGATAAGTTCAGTATGCATCATTATTTGCTGTTTAAGTTCAATAAGTAGATAGATAGTTGACACTTTTTAGTTTTCAACATTAATCCTCATTTAGGTTTAGATTTTGTACTTCCTAAAATTTTGATTGTAAATTCATATTTACATATTTGAAAACTATCTATAATTTATAGGGAAAATGATTAATTCATTCACCATTTTAAGAGTCAAAGACAAAGTCAGGATTAGGAGTTTGGAGGTTTTACATTTAACTTTAATGATAATAGGGTTTGAACCCATAACTCTGGTGTGGAAAAACATTTTCATGACCCCTTCCTTCCTTATCATTGAGCCATCATTCAACTTTGTTAAGGAGTTCATAAGTTTTATATATATATATATATATATATATATATATATAATATTCTAATACAAACATCGGGTCTATAAAAAAGCTACTGGGTTCGTCCGAACCCCATCTAACTTCGTTCCTCGCTGCGGCGCATTGAGGCACTTCTTCGACGGTTCCCGTATGTCTAGCCTGGCGGCTATAATTCATAATCAATAAATTAAAAATACAAAGTATTTAGAAGGCATATGAAATAATTGTAGTAAAAATAACTCATTTGATTCTCCAATTTGAAAAGTATATTGCGTAAATTGAGACGGAAGAGTATAAGTAATTTCTTGCTTGCAATTTTTCGCTATGTTGGAAATAGGGCTATTAGTAGTATGATCCAATCTAAGAAATAATTTTACTCTGTTTAGATTAAAGATATCCTTGATAACGATTTCATTATTTGAATAAATATTTATTTGGATAATAATTGTGGGGAGAATGAAAATTTATTAAGGAAATTGACATAAATATGGATATCCACTAGACTTATTGACTCAAAATCCAAAATAACCAAAATCCATTAATTCAAAACCAAAGTTAATGAAAATCAATCCAATCCAAACTTATTTAAATTGGAATTGGATCTTGGATTTTTAAATTAGAAAGTTGAATATCTTAATCAAAATTTTCATATTCAATTCGAACTATGCAAATGTCCACCTATAGTTGTGGATGCTCAAGAGTTAGGAACTCTTTTGAAAAAATTACATAAATGCACCTAAAATTTCTTATAATTTAAAAAAATTATAAAAAATTCCCTCTCGAATACATTCTTATCCTCTCTCGGATACATCCATATCCCATATCAGATACATTTCTCCCCTCTTGGATACATCTCTCCCCTCTTAGATACATCCCTAACCCCTCTCAAATGCATCCCTCCCCTTTCAGATACGTACATGAGCTACATCTCTCCCCTCTCGAATACATCTGTGAGTTGTATATCCGCAGGTTTTCTAATGTATTCGAGATTCTATAATTTTAAAAACTTTTTGTAATTTAGAAAAAGAAATAGAGATAGAATGTACTTAGCTCTTAATACTATAAATTTTTGTAAAAAAATAAATAAATAAAATTGATATTCTACTATTGGGCATTATTTTTCTTGGGCTTGTTTCAGCATTGATATACGGGCTTGCAAATTCTGTATCACTAATGAATACAATGGACAAAATAATGAGACAAAATTCAGAAATAACCACTATTTTATTAATGTAATTGAATAAGTTATCGATTCAAGTTGTGAAAGTAGTCATTAATTTTTATATTAGTAATCTCCCCCAATAAAAAAACAAATCTATTTGTGCAATTAACCCTTTTAAATATCGAAGAATCAATTGCACAATTTTATCCTTTTAATGGACTGGTCTTTAATTTTCCTCCTAAAAATTAAATTTATGCCTGTTATAAATACGTAAAACATAACTTATAAAATATCATATATGATATAAAAATATAAATTTATGCCCCAAAAAATTATTTATTTCCAAAAATAAAAATTAAGTGGTTTATAATGAGCTCCTCCAATATGAACCTCATCCTTTTGTACATTATCCTATGGCTAACATGTTGAACCATAGAATATTATTCCAATGCAATAATTCACAATGCTTACCTTATCTTTTACCATACTATTTTCCCAACCATAATTCCAACTCAATTCAAACTATTGTCAGTCTTCCGCAATCCTCCTCCTTTATCACTTCTCATAAATCGACTGCCTCTTTGGCAATCGTGCTTTGCCGTGCAAGGAGAAGAATTATATACGATAACGATGATGATGATGAAGAAGAAGATAATAATAATTCAGAATTAGCAATGCTAGAGTTTTATAGTCAATCTATGAGAAATGAAGCTCTTCTTGTGAAAGCTCTTGTAGATGAGGAAGATGTTGAAGTTCTAATTTTCAAGGTAAATTTAACTTTTTTTTTTACTTCAATCGCTAAAATTTTATATACTTTGTACCATAGTTAATTATTTTTTCTGTCTCAATTTCATAATTTAATTTGACTAAATACAAAGTTCAAGAAATATGATGAAATGAGATTTTGCAATATTTCAAAATTACCCTTAAAAAGAGTACGCCTTTATGGATTTTTACCAAATAAGTGAGGGTCCAACATAGATAAAATATTGATTGTACCAAAAGAAAACGTGTCATTCTTTCTAAAACTGACTAAAAAGGAAAATATCTAATACTTTTATATGTTATAAAGTAATGATGTTATAGAAAGTAATATAACATAAAATCGATTCTAAAGAAAACTTAACGATTATAGTAAAATATATTGTGTAGTTATTATAGAGATGTCCGATGATATATATATATAATTAGTATTTTGTTGTTATTTGTCCATATGGATATTTGATTAATTATGCTATTTATTATTTTTAGGGGTTTTCATCATGCTTGAGTTATGGGACAAGTCCAGATCCATCAAAAAGTTTGCTTCCAGCAAGGGCAGTGATCAAATGCATAGACAGAATAAAAGGACCATTTGACCCCTCAAATATTGTTTATTTGGAGAAAGGATTGACTGTGGAGGCCTTCAAGGATAGGATACTACCAAGGGCAAAATAGTCATTTAATCAATTTTTCTATAACGTTGTATTTGTTTGGATATTTTATGATTGTTATAGCAAATGTTGTCATTGAGAACATGTAATATGATATAACATTGAAATCGACTCCAAAGAAACTTGGATAATGAAATATTGTTATAGAAAATAATATATAATAGAGAGATCTGATGTATTTATAACATTTTCGTGACAACTACAAATTCAGCTTGAAACTTTTGTATCATATACAGGTTAAAAAAAATTTGAATACTGGTTGATGGTGAAGTCAAAATTTGAAATTTATGGATTTTTAATTTACCACTAAATTCATAATATATCTTGATTACTGAATACCTTTTCTTGTCGTTTATTTATTTGGTTAATTAGAGTTATGCATGTATTAGTAATGAGTGATTAGTTATGCAAGGTACTTACTTATTTATGCATTACTAATTTATGTGTAGTTATTTCATCTTCTATCCAACATAAAATAATACACAAATCTTTAATTATGAGAGATTTTAAATCGATAATCGAAGCCATATATACTGAATTTTATACGTAACAGCTAAAATGCCACCATTAAACATGTTACTCCTAATTATGTTCGTTTTAATACATGAATAATTCACTTCTTAACCATCAACCAAACAACCCCCTAATATAAAGATTAAACTCATCAAATTTAAAACCTTAAATCTGACTCTAACCATTGTAATTCCATCCATGCAAAAGATCCATCCAACACAAATCTTATCACATCTTATAATAATAATAATAATAATAATAATAATTTTTGAATAATATTAAATATCCATTTATCTAATTTTTTTTAATTACTTAAAAATGACTTAACCCCAGGACAAAATTAATGGTTAGTTTTGCCTAAAAAAAAAAACCAATAATTTTTTTTCCACGTAATTAATGAACCTTTTTTGCTTTCTTTCTTTTCTCTCTCTTTTGGAAACGAAGGAGAGAAAGAAAAAAAGTTTTTTTTGTCCTCATGAAAGATGATTTTGGAATAGCCAATTTTCCCTCAAAAGCCTAAAGGCAAAAATCTCTTTTTTTTTCAACAATTTCCCAAACATCTTTAATTAAAATTTCTATTACCAAAACATAAATTCTGGTCATAGGAATTTGAAATTTTTTTAACTTTAATTCTTCTTCCTAATTTTTCTTCGAAAAGCCTTTTCCCAAAAAAAGTAACTTATTATTACTCGTTGAAAATGGCGAGCGGGGTATTCTGTGGTGTTGTTCCTTTCATTTTCCGCAGGAAACCTTCTTTGTTAAAGGTAATTTTTTTATATATTTTTTCATATAATTTGTAATGTTAATAAAAACATGTTTGTATATTCAGAATGTTTGTTTAATTATATGAAGAAGAAAAGAAAAACATAATATTGCATTTTTCATTATGCCAAAATATTGTTCATGCATGCAAAATGCAAACATAAATGTGTTAATTTTTCTATTCATTTTATTGGGGACCTCTATGGAAATCTTTTGTGTAAACCATATTGGGGACCTCTATGGAAATCAAAGAAAGTTAACTTTGACCATGAGGTGAGAGAACATTATTGGGCGCAACGGGAAGAGTTGTTGCCATGTAACGAAGAGGTCATATGTTAAAAAAATAAATAGTTTCTTATAGAAATGTAATGTAAACCTGAATACAATAGACCCAATGTGGTCTAAGGTTTTTTCTCGTGCATAATAGAAACTTTGTGCACCAACCTTTCCTTAACATATTATAAATTGATGAATGATACCTACAATAAACCCAACGGGGTTAGACTCTTCCTCGCGCATAGTGAGAGGTTTGTGTACGAAGCATCCCTTAACATATAAATTGATGAATGACACCTCAAAAAGATACGTACAATAGATCCGATGTGGTCAGGCTCTTCCTTGGCGTGTAACATGAGCTTTGTGCACTGAACTTCCCTTTTAGCTCGCCCATGTTGAATTTTGACATATCCCCTGTTATAATACCATTACTAACAATATTGTTTTTTTCAGGAAGAAGACACACGTAAAACTAGGAGATTACATACTAGAGTAATAAAGAAATTACCTTCCATGTTGGTACCAAGAAGATCAAAAACAAACAAAGGTTCCAAATCGCGCAATGCATGTGGAGTGAAAGCACCAAAAAGTCCCAGATTGCAAAGTTCAAATGTGGTGAAAGCACCAAAAAGTCCCAGAATGCATAGTTCAAATGGGGTGAAAGCAATTACAAGAAGTCCAACTTTTCAAAATTCATGTGGGGTGGCTAGTAACTTCAGAATAATGACAGGTATAAGAAACAAGATCATCACATTGAGACACTTGCTTGATCTTTCACCTTGTGATGGCTCTGAATCTGCAAATGAGGTACATATATGACTTCTTCTGTTAGTTTGTCGTCAACACTTGTTAAATCACTCCTCTCCAAAAATACTGTTGCACGGATAACAACCTTAGCTACGTAGAGTTGAAGGGTTGGTCAGTGAACATCCTTCATTGAGAAATTATATTATGTACATAGGTCAAAAATCACCTTGTATACATAAATATTAAAGGCATAATACATAGATAAGACACCTGAACTTGGCCTCAAGTACTGGCAAGTGAACACTCCACCTTTGAGGATGCACATATAAACAACTTCAACTAGTCTCCTCGGTGTCAGTTGAACAGTCGTACTTACAAAATGATCATCTAGACACCTCCAAAATTTATGTGTCACGTCAACATTGGGTGTCCACGAGACAGTGGGGATGAGCTGATGTGTCTAGATGATGTGCATTCTCAAAGTTGGAGTATTTAGTTGTCAATTGAAGCCAAAATACGGTGTCTATCTATGTAGTTTGTCTATACTTAATCTTGAGCACACGAGGTTCCTGGTTTCGCCACCTATATCGGAACCTCCAGAAAGCACTACTTTTAGAGGATCAGACGCACCCGTCAACATTTTTGAAGAGTCCGAGCAACATACTGTCACCTTACTCACTTAAATGTCAATGCCATTTTCAGAAGAGAATAACAAGAAGTCTCTTTAACCAACTTTTTTCTGTCATGGCCATGTTTTTCAACAGCTGTTGATATCAACTCTGAGAGATCTACATAAACTGTTCCCTTCGATCAATCCGAATTTTTCGTTGTCAAAAATAGATGGGACATCAATACATGAGGTAATTTACTCCCTAAGTTGAGCACTTTTAGCATATATGCAGTACTGTTGTTTATAAGCAAAATCACAACTTATTGAGCTCACCAAAGTTTCCCTGTTTTTTTCAGAAAGTGAGATGCTTTTGTGATATATTGAAATCAATTGGGGAAATGTGGACAGGAAATGATGAGTGGATGATTACATGTAAAGAGAATTCACACAGTAAACTAAATGATTTTGAATATGGTATGATCATCTCTCTGTAGTTTCTTGTCTATCAATTTTTGTTACTATCTATTGTTTCTTCTACTTTGATTATTGCACTTTTTTGGTGTAGTTATTGTTCTTTTTTCAGAATACTTTGTCATGTTTTCTATAGTATTTTGCAGTGATCCATTCACTTTAGTTGTTTCTTTTTCAATCTGGTTTGATATGCTTTCCTTAAGCCGAGGGTCTATCGGAAACAACCTCTCTGCCTCCCAAGGTAGGGGTAAGGTCTGTGTACATTCTACCCTCCAAAACCCCCAGTTGTGGGATTACACTAGTATGTTGTTGTATTTTTTGCTTCGATATGCAGTTATAACGATTTTCTTATATTACCTATGTAGTGTTGGCATTGCTCGACGACATTATCAAGTTAGCTAGTGAAAGGATGTCAGAGATGACGAACGAGGATGAACATGAGCATGAGGATGAGGTCGAGCATGAGCATGAGGACGAGACTGAGGACGAGGGTGATCAGACGAGAGAAACAAGTACTTCACCTGACACATTTGAGAAGAATTTTTCGGAGATTTACTCGAGCAACAATTCCTCCCTTTCGAGCTCTCCAACTTCAGTCCTCCCTGAGATAATAACCAATTCCTCAAAGAAGAATGGAAAGGCTTCTATCACTTCCCCTCTTCTCCTATCACTCAAGGTTCAAGCTGTTGGAAACCAGAACCCGATTGAGGTAAGACGTCTCTCGTTCCACATGATCCCCAATGCAAATCAAGATTCAGGCTATTCAGTTCAGCTAGGAAGCGATGTCGATGAAAAAGGGTCAAATACAGAAGCAAATCAAGATTGTGAATTAATGGACTTACCGGAGATTCTACTGAATAGCCTGGAGAAAGCATCGGAAAATGGTGGAATATTCTGGACCGGTGCATCAAATGGTCAAGCAGTCCCAGCTCGCGTTACATTTGATGTGCTCTTACCTCCATATTCAATTTCTAGGTTGCAATCAAATGTAACAGAACAATCATCAGTACCACCTTCTCCAAACATTTTATCACCAAAGATCATAGAATCGCAAGTACCAACATCACCTCAGCCAGAACCTCAACCAGATTCCTCGTGTGAGAACGAGGAGCCAGAACCAGCGTCACCACCAGCCCATATTACATCAGGAAACACAGTAACACCTCCACCTCCACCTCCACCATCTCCAATTACATCAAAAAATAGAGCAGTGCCTTGTCCTCCGCCGCCACCTCCCAGGAAATCAGAAAATGTACATTCACCTCCACCTCCGCCCCCACCTCCATGTTCACCTCACAAAGGACTAAAGGGTATGGTAACCCCACATCCACTTCCACCAAAGGCATCAAATAGAGCAACGCCACCAACCCCTCCACCGACGCCAATGGGAAAGGTAGCTGCACCTCCACCACCACCAATGCCAATGGGAAAGAGAGTTGCAAATCCACCATCGCCAAGATCAGCACCACCTCCACCCATGCAAACGAAAAAGGGAGGCGCACCTCCACCACCACCACCAACTTTCGCAGGTGCCAAAAATCCACGACTGAAGAAAGCAGCCACTAAACTGAAAAGATCATCCCAAATGGGAAATCTTTATCGATCTCTTAAGGGGAAAGTTGAAGGATCTAGTTTAGATGGTAAACAAAAGGGAGGCAAGGGAAAATTTAATGCCTCAAAAGGAGGTAAACCAGGAATGGCTGATGCATTGGCTGAGATGACAAAGAGGTGATCTTCCTGAAATCTGAAATACTCCCTCCGTTTCAATTCGTTTGTCTGGTTATGACTTGACACAGAGTTTGAGAAAGTAATAAAGACTACTAAAATGCTCTTTAATCTGGCGGTCTTAAACATGCCATGAGGAAAGTTGAGAATTAAAGAGTTGCTAAAAAAGGAAAAAGGTGTTCTTTTTGAAACAGACAGAAAAGGGAAGTAAGACAAACAAATTGTAATGAAAGAGTAATTATTTTGGTAGGAGGCAACTTATTCTATGATGTTTATATTTTATATTTATGAATTATATCTCACAGGTCAGCATATTTCCAACAAATTGAAGAGGATGTTAAAAATCATGCAAAACTAATCAAGGAGATGAAGAAGGCCATTGCTTCTTTCAATACATCAGATATGTCTGAGCTCATTACATTCCACAATTATGTCGAATCCCACCTTGAGAAACTAACTGACGAATCTCAGGTTCGTTCTATATTTCTTATTTTTTGTCATAATTAACCATTTCAGGATGTTGGCTTAAAGATTTTCTTGGTACAGGTCCTAGCAAGATTTGAGGATTTTCCTTGTAAGAAGTTGGAAGCGTTGAGGACGGCAGCAACTCTCTATTCCAAATTAGATTCAATAGTCTCTACTTTACAGAATTGGCAACCGGCCTCGCCTGTTGGCCAACATCTTGCCAGAGCTGAGAGGTACTTCAACAAGGTAAAAACTAAGTCCCTGGACCTCAAAACTTCCCACGACGGCTTTATTTCGTGTTTGCAGTTCTAACAAGTAGTTCTCTCCTATAGATAAAAGGAGATGTGGACACTCTAGAAAGGACTAAAGATGAAGAATCCAAGAAACTAAAAACACATAAAATTCAGTTTGATTTTGGCGCCCTTGTACGTATCAAAGAATTGATGGTGGATGTTTCCTCAAACTGTATGGAACTTGCACTGAAGGTAAGTACAATCAAAATCACTCTAATACTAAATCTTGTGAATAATTGATACAAAGATATGAATTCGAAATGCATTTAAGTATATCTCAATGTGTGAATTTAGATAGAGTAGATTTGTCACGATGTGTTCATACGAGCACTAATGCACTAGATCCCATCAGAACTCCGAAATTAAGCATGCTTAGCCGATAAGGTTTGAGAATCTTCTCGAACATCTCTAAACTCGTATAGATAAGTTTATATGGAATGCATAGAGCATCATTCAGATCAACACTCTCTACATTTGTTTACATGGTATTCACATTAACCACCATCGTAATGGATTTGGTTAACAATTTTTTGAAATAATGTTGCAATGTCGAATCAGGAAAAGAGAGAAGCAATGGCGGGGGGAAAAGAAGGAGCCGGACCAACAAATGAAGGGATCAAAAAAGAATCAGCCACACAGCTTTGGAAGGCATTCCAATTTGCATTCAGAGTCTATACTTTTGCAGGTGGACAAGATGAGAGAGCAGAAAAGTTAACGAAAGAATTGGCTGAAGTAATCGAGACAGACCTTCATCATTAGATGTATACTAGGTGGTGCCCATTTTTTTCCCAAACGAAAAAAAAAGGAAACAAAGAAAGTCACTATATAGGCTGCAATCGAGCAATCAGCATGTTGATGCTATTCCTGGCAAGCGCCTTGTACATGCTTCATAAGCTACAATGTTCATGCTTATACCAGGAGAGAATTGCTAGATGAAATACTGTTATTTGTATTAGACTGAGGGGAGAAATTGAGCTAAACTCTAGCTTTAATTTACCCTACCACTGTTCATACATACAATATATATCACACCTTAGTGACTGATTTTGTAGCATGGCTATAGCAGCAGACTGATTATTATTTCCTAGTTGAACAAAAACGAATACACATGTTACAACTATACATTGATAGTGTAACATAAAAGATAACTACAGGTAATCGTCCATAATAAGTCAACTAGTAACTTGGAATAAAGCACATAACGTGCAGCTACAAGAAGTTAAAATACACTATAAGTGAAAACAATGTATATACATTCAATTAGTGTGTATGTTGTATTTGAGTTCAAGTATGAAAAATCATGCACTTCTATCATATTAGTACTAAAATAATGATTATTCAATAATATTGAAGTTTATATACACTTTGTTGATAAGTTATCATATTCTAAAAGTCTATGTTGCTCGGACTCTTATAAAATATCGCCCAGTATGTGTCATATCCTCAAAAAGATATGCACATTTTAGGATCTGACACAGGTGTGGCAACATTTTTGCAGGATCCGAACAACATAACTTCTGCAAGCAGAAAATATTTACATTCTAACATGCATACATTGAGCTGATTAAAACTAGGAAAATCAAGCAATTCATTTAGGCAAAAAAACAAACACCTGGTGGGCTTCACTTCAAATGTCCATTTTGATTCTACTTAATAGCATACATCACAAATTTCCATCATATAGCATGCTCTCTACTTAATGACATTTGCGATATCATATTATGTTAAGAATATTATCGGATTGGATCAACCTAATAATCAGAGTCAATGGTTCGACGAGACGAAAAGATTTGTATGATATACTTTTATTTTTAGTCTATCCCCAAAAAATACATATTTTTTTATTTGACAAATATTTATAACTTTATCAATATTTTATTCCATGTTGGTTCCAGGTAAAATGTTCACATAGGTATACTCTTGTCTACCGCATGATAACTTATCACAGAATTATAGTGTTATTTTTATTCCATATTGAGAATAAAATAACAATTTTGAAATAACTAGTCCCAAAATAATTAATCGTGAATTAACTTGATCCCAACAAACGAGCCCTTAGACCTCTAAGACATTAAATTTTGATAAGATTATCAAATTATGCATTAATTATTTATTTTTTTGAAATTATCCTACAAAATGTATAAATTAACTTGACTTTCTTGGATTATTTTCTATCATGTTTAGTTAAAAGTGGTGTAGAGAAATGCTACTCTTAACACAAATTTCTTACATACACTGTTTATAGTAATATCTAATTAATAGGATCCCAAACTATAGAAAATTAATTCAAGATAAGATGTATAGTGTGTGCATTTAATTTTTTAGAATTTACACTACCAAATGCTTAACTTTGACTTTTTGAACTATCATTTATAATTTTATATTTACTATATGTTACTTTCCAAATCACTAACTAGATTAACAAGTGAGTACAAGTTAAAATTCATGTAATAATATAATAATTAGAGTCTGTGAATCAAATTCAGGAAAATTAGTATGTATTAATACACACAAAAGATGCCTACAATAATGAATTACAATTTCATGATCCCAAAATGCTAAAAAAAAAAAGATAGTCATGACGAATATAGTGAGTATTGATCATCAGATCATTTCGAAAGGATCGTTCAAATTTCAAGTCAATTGGAGTACGTTAATCAAATTCAAGAAAATTATTATGTACGATATACACCAAAAAAACACATAATCATGACTTTGTGTTCCATGACCTCGAAACTCCAACAAATCAACATTAGTTGTGACAAACGTGATGAATAATATTGATTACCATATAGTTTTCAATGGATATATTTCACAAATTGTAATTGTTTTACTTTCTTTTTTTTTGTTAAGAGAAATGACAATAAGAAATTTTAAGGAAAATATTTTACTTCTCATGGGTGCATTTTGTTGTTTAGAATGTACTTAACGTAATGTTTAACTTAATTAGACTTTTTGGATTATCATTTATTAATTATATACTTATTTAGGCACAATTAATGTTGCTTTTATATATATTACAAGTGCATATGAATAAGTTGTAAAACAGCAACATATTATGGCTCCAAAGATGATAGTTCCTCTTCTCCTTTTGTTGATTTTTTCAAGTGGTTACTCTCTTTCCCTCTAGATCTCTAAATATATCTATCTATTTTTTATTTTATTTTTTTGGGAGTTTTTTTTAATTTAATGTTCAATATTTGATTTGAAGTTCGATTAATGTGAATTCGTGTTAAAAGCTTTTATTATTGAGATAAAGAGCCTTTCACAAAAGATAAATTTGTTTCTAGAATTCAAATTTGAAACCTGATCTTGTTGCAAAATAAAAGAGTACTTACTAGAGTCGGAGCCAAAAAAAATAGTTAATGAATTCAGAATCAAGGTTATTTTTTCTACCTAGATTCTGAATAGATTAATTACTATACATATAACAATACAAATCCTTTTTCTAATGCTTAATAAGATTTGAATCAGAATCATCGAGTTCGATTGAATTCACACCTATAGTGACGACTTTGCCTCTTGTAATTACCACTCCACCATAATTTCAATTCATTTATTTTTTTGAAAAAATGTTGTTTTATTCATGCAACTAACATAATTATTATATAGTTTTCTTCCGAAGATTTTAGTAACTCAGTTGATTGGTTATCTAAACTTTTTCTTTATCGGTAAGGGTTCAAATTCACCTTATAATCCCCCTCCCCTATCCCTATGTTCAACAGCTTTAATTTCCTCTCCTTTTTCATCTATCCTATTTTTATATTTATTTATTTTTTAACCCTCCCCCTAGGAGCTCCCACCCCTTTTGCTCCCTTGGTGACTCGAACTCGCAACCTTCGGGTTGGAAGTGAGGGGTGCTTACCATCCGAGCAACTTCCTATTTTTTTATATTTTTTACTTTTTTTTATAATCAAAGGTACTCATAATTTACTGGCTCAACTAATTTGAATTTACATACTTAAGGTCAATCAAAAGGGCAATGCTTTTCAGCCTCTTGTAATTAAAATAAATAGTTAATATCATGTATTTTGAAATATCATTATATTATCATGGAATTTCAAATGTAAAATTTCAAACTTCGCTGTAGTAGTTATTTTTCAATTACAAGATTGAAAAGTCATCAGCAAACACTATTAATTACTTCAAGATTTTTTTTTGTCCTGAAAATTTTACCCAAAACTTCTATTAATGATAAAGTGGTCTTATTTATCCTATCACAATCTGATCTAAAACGTCTATTAATGATAAAGTCATCTTATTCATTCGATCACAGTTCGATCCGTACTAAAAAAAATATTGTGCTCTTATTTGTTATAGGTGTATTATATGAAGTGGAACCAAGAAATGGTGTGTATTTGCATTGCAACAGTGACAGTGACTGTGATTTTATGTGTGAAAAAGAAGATTATTATAAGCTTGAACCTTTTTGCTACAAGAGCCAATGTATTTGCAACAAACAATTTTTCTGTGAAGATGATTTTACTTGTTCTGTTAAAGGATTTTACTGTAATGAAAATGGTCCCCTATGTATTGATTACACGTGTCAATGTCGCGCCCTGTGAGTGACCATGTATATTTCGATCATGTTGATAAATAAATATGACCGAATTAGTAATTACAATCTCAAAAGAGAACAAGTTGTGACTTGTGACTAAAAAAATGCACAACATATATATGTAAGGTTAATATTATATAAGATATACTCTATGTTTCAATTTATGTGTTCTAATTATTTTGCTTATTAGCAGACGTTTGATCATGCAATTTTGAATGATCAAATTTGAAGGTTTTGAAGTATTCCCTCCGTCCTAATTTACGTAAAAATATTTAGCTGGATGTGAATTTTTTAAAAGAAAAAATTGAAACTTATAAATCTAAAATAAATCATATAAATTTATGTTCTAAAAACCATTTAGTATAAATAAAAAGTGTGATAGTTTAGGAAAACATTTTCTATAAAAAAAATTCTGTTTTCCTTTGTAACAAACACAAACCATGCAATTTGTTCTTTAGAGTTTACTTTACGGAATGTTTAACTTAGACTTTTGGATTATAACTTATTAATTGTTCTAATTTTTTAATTACACACTATACTATATATTATATAATAAAATGTTGCACTATATATAATATTAGTATTAATTATTAGCCAGCAAGCAGCAACACAATATGTATCCAAATACAATTGGTTCTCTTCTCCTTTTGTTGGTTTTTTCAAGTAATTACTCTTTCTTCTTTTGCAAACTTATTATTCCCTAGGATTGTTGTAGTGAGATGAGGAGATTTTTTAATTTTTTATTAGAGGTTTCGAATTTGAAGATAAAGAAAATATTGATAGAGAGGCGTTTCACCTTTTAGTGAGCATTAACTCATATTTATATTAAAGGGGGAAACATTCTCTATTAGAATTTTATTTTCTTTCTTATAATTCCGAACTTGATGCCTCTAATTAAATGTAAAAAAAATCTTGTTCATACGATTACAATGTTTGTTGGTCCTAGGATGTGTTCAGTATGGAAGAAAATATTTGTCAAATGTTCGATTTTCATGTTTGTTTGGTCAATTTTTTGAAAGATGCTCTATATACATAGAAAAACAAGTTTCTTGGAATTTTTATTTTATTTTTTTTGTAGAAATTAGGTTTTATGTCCCTCTCCGGGATGTAATTTTATTCATTTATTACGAGGTAGGATTCAAGAATGAAAATGACTTCCACATGTGTCATTCCACATATATTATTGATTGTGTTCACTCCACCCTCTAACACATCTCATCTTCATTCTCACCCTCGTAGTCCTCATTCTGCCACCGCATCTCTCATAGTATTTTTCTAGATTCTATACAAATGCTTTTAGATAATATTTTTCACTTACATACCATACATGCGGATGCACACCCTTTGCTGAAAATTAATTATATGGTATACATATGTTAAGTTTTAGTTATTATGAGTATATATATTTACTTTTTCACATCCTTATTAACACAACCAAAACAAAAAAGAAAATTTACACACCTTTCACCAAATTCCTAGCTCCACCAATAATACCATACCAAACAAAAGCAAATAAATAAGAAACATACTTATTTTTCTCTACCGAACACACCCTTATTTTATATTTTTAAGTCTTTCTTTTTGTTCAGGATTAATATTTATTAATTTAGTCTCACATGACATCTATGCCCTCTAATTTTGAGTATGCATAAGTAGACACTAAACACATGCGTCCTATGCAACATGAAAAATTCACATCCTACGTTACATTCTATGTTTATTATGTCGCACAGGACATGTGTGTCTACATGTTCAAAGTTGGACGACATAAATGACACAATTGAAGTCAAGTCAAAAAGCACATTTATATATAATATATATGTAATCTAACTATATGAAATTTGATATAACAGGTATATTATTACATGAAGTGGAACCAAGAAATGTTGTGTTTATGCATTGTGGCAAGGATAGTGACTGTGACTTAATATGTCGTAACGCTGAACATAAGGTTGAACCATTATGTTATAAGCGTTATTGTATCTGCGACCGCAGATTCTTCTGCATGAATGATTTTAGCTGTAAACTTCAACCAATTCATTGCGATGATCATCGTGGCAAATCTTTTCAATGTATTCATAACATATGTAGATGTCTTTAGTACCCTTGGTGAAAAGAAAAATGAAAAATGTTGTGACTTAAGTACAAAAAATTCATAATTCATATATAAGGTTGATATAAGATATAGTTTATGTTTCGTTTTATGTGTTTTGATAAACTTTGCAAGATGGAACACGAAATTCGCCTCAAAACTTGAAATCTTTCTTCTTCGACTTGCCATCTTTTTCCTGCAACTTGCGTTTCTTCTTCCTCTCATTCTGCAGCAGTTTCATCAATGTCAGAACTAGTGAACATCGAGATTTACTACGACAAGAAACGCGAAAGGACTCTGAGAAAGAGTAATAAAGATGCAAAGATGAAATAGTTAACATACCTCTGCTACCATGTCACTGAAATCCTCTCTCTGAGAACGCAACTTCTCTTCCTCTCTAGCTTCCTCATATCTATAAAACAGAACAAAAAGTTTTCAGCAAAAATCGGGAAAATTCATATGAGATCCTCTGATTCAGAACAGTGTTACTAGTGTTGCTACTCACTTGGCTGGCAGGACATTGTCCATCAGTTCCAACTCTTCGGGTGCCAAAGTAACATCAACTCTATCTGATTTTTGACCTTTAAGCAGATCGACCTGCAGTGGAAAATTCAAGCAATTACGACAAAATTCTAATCGAAGTGTCAATAACAGAATTGGTACAAACAAGGAACAATCATGAAATACTGAAATCGGGCACAGAGAAAAGATGATAAATTGATGTGGCATATCATGGCTTCAATTTAATGCATTTCCATTCAGCTAACAAATACTTTTAAAAAGCACCATTTTATGTTATATCAATTGACAATACATTCTTTCCAACTTTGACAATCATCGCACAATCAGATGCAAAATATAATTATAAAAGCCAAATAGAACTGCAAGTGAACCTCCTATCACAGCACCAAGTTCACAAACAACAAGCTTCTATCACATACTTGGGGAGAAAATGGTCCAAACCGGGGTTTCGATAATCCCATCAATAGGAAGAGAATAATCCATCCTATGAACACATGAAAACTACAATAATATAACTTCATAAGTGGGGTTTCAACAACCCCATAAATAGGATGAAAACAATTCACTCTTCTGACGAATTTCACGAAGGATAACAACAGAACAATCATAATGTGTCATTGCTCTCTGCATTCAACAGTTCATAAAGTCAACGATCACATGAAGTAGCATGTCAATGCAGCAAACAAGGGGAGAGGACAAGAGATTTCATTACCCTTTTGGCAGCAGTCTTGTCTTGAGTGCCAGTGTTAATCACATACCTGTACAGCCAAAGTAAAAAGAGTCAGTGTAGAGAAAAAAGAGAGGTGCCTGATACAACTTCGGCACAAGTTTAAACATGTACTCACGTATGAGTTGTTCCAAGAAGAGTTCCTGGAGCTATCTTTTCTTCTTTCTCTTCAAGCACCTTAAGAAACAAGTAGATGGTAGTGAGATTTTTGACAAGGAGAAAATATTTGTCTATTGGAATGCAAAAAATAGCAGGCTACATATAGTGCTATTACTTGGTAGAGAGGCTTCTCAGGCTCCTTCCTCTGCTGCTTCCGAAGGTCAATAACATCGGGAGTCTCAACTCCAGTTGGAGTACTATACAAACGAACAAACACATTGAGAAATGATACCTCAAATGAAGTTGAAATTTAAGTATTGCTTCCACAGTGCATGTTCGGATTAGAAAGGAGAACCGAAAATTAGGGGAATAGGGGCAGTTTGAGCTAATAAAAGCTTTCTACAGATATTGTATGGTGTTAAAAGTTTGGATCAAGTGATACCTCGAAAGACTGTCCACAGACTGAATACCATCTTCCAACTCATCTTCCTCCATCTCTTCTTCCACTTCCTCTTCCTCCTCTTCTTCCTCTTCCTCCAAGTCACCCCAATGCTTAGTCTTATCAACGGGTTCATCCTAAGCATGACCATAAATGGCATGACAAACGTAATTAGAGACTGTCAACCAAAAATAGGATCTAAGAACACTGGCTATGGTAATTACAAAGACCACATACTTGAATTTTTTGTTTAAAAAGAAATATCAAGCATTCATTAATGAGATGCTTAGATATTTTTCATGGTTACCAACACCTAGAATAAGTTTCACAAACTTCAAATTGGTGTGTTTCCAAGCATACATGTTTCATAGGTAATGCTTGTTATTTCAGTTGGCCTGGAACTACCTTGAAGCAAAATGTTACTCCAAGAACTTACTTAAAGAAAGAAACAACTCCAGCAAATACAATATACAAGTGGGCATACCTCGTAATTAGGATGGTCTTGTTGCACCACACCAAAGACATCTCCATATAAAGGGCGCCCATACTATTTCAAACAAAATAGGGAGAAATGTTGAGAATAATAAATAATTACAACAAAACACCATCTTCACAATGTGATGAGAAAAATGTAAAAGGTTCCAATAAACTGAAAGGTTTCAGAATCTTACTTCATCAACAGGTGGTTTACCCCAACCTCCAGGCTGATAGCCAAACTTGGCTCCTGGTGGAATAGGAGCATTGAGACCGGGAATCTTCAATTGAGGATATGAAGGTGGAGGACCGTATCTCTGCCAAAGACAATTGTGAGTTGGAGAAAAGTGTTAGCAACGAAACCCAACTATCTAGCAAGACGACAAGAAACTTAAGGAGACCAAAAATGACCACATCCAATAAAACAGAACTTAAAATTTATGCCAACTTACCTGCATATTAATAAGCCAAGGAGGAGGAGCGCCTTCGGGCATACCAAGAGCCTCTTTCAGTTCCTGAGAAAAAGTCCCAGGTTTCATCTCCCTGAACTTCACCTGCATATAGAAATCAAAAGATGATGCAGCTGTGGAAAAGAAAATCTAAACACTGGTATAGCCAATGCAACCAACACCATTAAACATCGTAATCTAAAAGTGTACATCAATAAAAACTGTCTCATTTTTATTCTCAAGAAATTGATGAAATACCAGACGGCTGAGAATGACCAAAGTTGTATGCAAGCTAGATATGAAAGAAGCATATGACCATTCAACAATGTCAAAGAAAAAATCTGTACCTCAAACTCTTTTCCTTCGTAATACAGATCCCCGTGGCTACTCAACTTTGGTTTAGTCTGGTACTTAAAAAAGGCATCATGGAGAACCTACATAACATGATATAAAGACTCAGCAGAACAGTACAGCAACCAACATTTAACCAAAAATATCCATGCACTTGACAAGACATGGACTATTTTGCAGTTCAGTATCAACAAGGAACCAAGGAAAATTGGGAACCTGATAATCAATATCCATCTTTCCCATTTTTGGCTGCATCCGCTCCCGCTGCTTTTGTTTAAGCTTTTTACTGTCCTCCTTTTCAATGTAAGCCTGCACAAAAAGAACAAATAAGATTACAAAACAAGGTCAAGCATAAACATACTAGCAGAAAAGATCATATACCGCACCTTCTCAAACAAAAGATATTTAAACATGATATCTCATTCCAGATAAATACTTCTGGCATATGTTTACTACATAATTGAACCCTATCTTTTTTCCAAATTAAAAGAATTGGGTTGTTAGGTCCATATGAAGATAAGTCAACATAAGGAAGTACTAGGTAGCATCTTCTCTTTGTTGAATTATGCTTATCTTTATCCATTCATTATCAGATGTCTTGCTGAAATGAAGGCTTTCATTTCTTAATGCATTTCTTAGTGCAAGTATTTTAAAAGTTCAGAAAAAATTGCAACAAACCATTAGAAAGTCATAGCTTGGGCTCCATCAACATCTAGTTTAAGTTCCATTTATACAACAAAAATATCCCTATTTCACAAGGCCACCACAGCAAGAAATATATAAGAAGAAATGGAACAAATTTCGTCATACTTGTCTAATTTTCTCAATTCCGGTCGCAGCTATAAAGTCAGGCAGTTGAAACGGCTGTTTCTCGATACCACGTTTCCCCTGAAAACCAAATTCAAGGCTTGATGAGATAAAATGTAACACAAGAAAGATTAACAATCTCATATCCAAAGAACTAGAGAGTGGATTGGATAGATGACCACATTGGCCAATAGTACCAATAGATTTAACCACTTCAAGCATGAATAATGCAAAGACAACTGAAATAATTAGAGTTTCTGCAGTGGGAACATTAAAGTTACTTGAACTTAAAGGACTTAATGCAACTATACTTTTCAGAACTTTTTATAGGAAAATGGAGCTAAAGAAATGTCTTTTGACCAACCCATACAAATAAACAGAGGAACGCTGCAACCCCCAACCCACAAAATACACATAGAATTATGAAGAATCCCATTTGTCAAAGACCTACATGTTGAGGCTCCACCAATGTCAAGGCCGCCCTCCTGCAAGAACCACATATATACATATAAGACAAACTTCATTGACTTTATCCCATCATCCCCTTCCCAAACCAAACCCTCTAAAATTTAACCCAGTTCTATCCTTGTTAATTGTTACATGAAGTGGAAGAGGTACAAAATATTGTGCACTATGTACTAACATTGGCCTATTTTTCTTTTTCTTTTGAAAATGTTCGCAACCTAAATATATGAATAAGCAGTGTTAACTGACCTGCAAAAATTTTCGTTTTTGACTCCAGTGTCGTGGGACAGGAACAGTATTTCGGTAAGATTTCAGATATACCAAAAGCTTAGGGTCTGCAGCAGTAGCGTCCCATACCTAAACGACATACAACACACCAATAAAGAAAATAGTCTACAGTTAGAACAGTAATTTACTACAGAAGTCAATGGCAATAGTCAAAACAAGACAAGTAAGATGCCGAATACACAAGAAATCAATGTAAAACTATCCAAGGGTGCAAAAGAACCTGCATCAGATCATGCAAAAGCTGGTTCCAGTCCGAGGAGAAGGAAAAGATGATGACTATAATGTAGATGATGATGAAATTAAACAACACTTATTATCATAAGAGGATCTCATCTATGCTATGCTGACACTTTCATTGGGATTATGAATGGAAAAGGTGTTGGTATGAGGTTCATGCCCAGATCTGGTTAATTTTTGGGTGGGATTCAGCAACTCTTCTGGACAAGTGCTCAATTAATAGTAGGAGGA